TTTAGAAGTTATGGGAGATAGCCGTTGTAAAACGAATGAGAATCATTTCTACGAGTATTACTCTATACATATTACTCACCGAACACGCCGCCTCCCCTCTTTTTTTTGTCTGTGAGAGTCGAAAATCTTATCACATGACTGAACAGAAATTTGATAGATGAACGGAAATGGATAATTTTATTGGGCAATTAAATTCTACTAGTATGGAATTGTCTTCCAACACATTCAATCAAATTAATGACAAGTTTTAAAAAAATATTCGCCCAAAAAGTTTACCTGATTCCCGGTTAACCAGAAGATTCATGGACAAACAGTAGGAGGCGTTTTTTTGACGCAAAATGTCACAGTGCAGTTCCGATAACCATGTGTCCGCTAATGAAGTATGATAGTTGAAGAGAAAATTACAAAAAACATCAGTTATCACATACCACAAAAGGACGCAAGATAAAATTATTGGAGTTAGTTATTATTCACACGACTGGAACTCACAGCAATGAGTGTTTCGTAACTAGTTTCCTATTCATTTTATTTTATTTTTTAAAATTCCTTTCTTCTTCGTCCACGCAATGCGTCTTTAAATTCTTGTTGGGAATGGAACGCTTGGATTAGGAGTAATACACCGTTAAGTTCGTCTAGTGAGTGCCTTTTTTTTCCTTCGGCAATGCGCGACGCCGTTAGAAACATGGTGACAGACGGTCACCTGACTAGAAATCCGTGAGGTCTCCAATTGATTAACTTCCATGACTTCACGAAGCGTAATTGAGCAATTCGGCTAACGACACCGACAATGCTCTTTGAAATCAAGTTATTAGTTAAGCCGAATAAATTTACAGTATTTATTTACCGGCGTTCCATTGATAATTATCCACCTTAAGTTAACCCATGCTCGACCTGGATGGCTGAAGTGTCTAAGAGCATGTTCCGACTCAGCACTTCTGTCCGAAGGGTCGCGGGTTCGAGTCCCGCTTTGAGCATGGTTGGTTGTCCATTTCTCTCTTGTATGTATCGCGGAAGGCTTTTTGCTGACCCCAGATTAGAGGAGCCCTCAAGTGTGTAGTGTCTAGTGTACGGTCGAATATATGTCCCGAATGGACGAGAATGGTAACCGGTTGTACGGTGGATAAAAAACTCTAGCAGAAAACATTAGTAAGTTCATGGTTTTAGTTATTATTCACACGTTTCAAGTAACTAATAGTAGTTCATTATTATTTATAAATACTTTTTGTCCGACTCTAGCTAAGATCAAAGCTATGGGTAAATACATTGTCCGCATGTCGCGAAGGAATAGTATTGGAGCGCATTTTCGTGGCCTCCCGAATAGAATTTGGGCATTTGGCATTGCAAACTTTCGCACCAGGGCCAACGCAACAGAAAGCGTGTTCTTGAAGCATTTCCCGGCGGTACTGATAGAATATTAAAGCCGGCATGGAGGTAAAAACTAAATTTTTCAAAATATATTTGCGTGCAACGTGCAACATTGAACTCGTCTCTTCCCGCTCGTTATCATGGGCTATAGAAATCTATAAGGTTACATTTAAATCTTCGTAGTTAGACGATATCTCTTACATTAAGAAATTTTTAGTTTAATATTGCACTTGCTGTTCATTACAATTGCTGGCAAGTTGTATGAGGGTAATACGGAGACTTTTTTTTAAAGCAGAGAAACACTGTCTTTTATATTCTTGACAGTCGCAAAAAGACATGATTTTGAATACAAAATAAATTATTCCAGTAATATCCAAATATAAAATGCTAAAATAATTAAAGATGTTGTCATTGCCAACAATGTTTTTTAATTCAAAAGCAGCTTTCGATGGCTTAGCCATCATCATCAGTTGTCTGCTAGATGGAAGCCACAAAACGACTAGCTGTTTCGACGTAGTCGTTTTGTGGCTTCCATCTAGCAGACAACTGATGATGATGGCTAAGCCATCGAAAGCTGCTTTTGAATTAAAAAACATTGTTAGCAATGACAACATCTTTAATTATTTTAAAAATGCCAAAGATATCTTACTACAACACCTATATAAAATGCTAGGTGTTTCCATGAGCACAATAACCATTATAAGTTTTAATTCAACAATCAATTAATTCAATTAATCTGTTGTTAAATTACTTAGATTCTTTAACTTTTTGAAACAAAAACAAACATGCCATTTTATATAATTAATTGTAAAGATCATGGCTGCAAAAGTGGTACGACACAAAAACTACAATTTTGAGTTAATGCACTCTTCAGAATTGCAGGTTGCAGGCAATTCAAAACCTTCCATCAGCCAAAACCCATTTCTTACAGTGCAGTATTTTACCAAATGGCAGAAGTGTGAATGTGAAGTGTGAATGATGCATTTCAATACAAGGTGAAAACTTCAAAGTCGTATCTCAGCACCTGATATATTTAGATGTACCACTATTGCAGACCACGAGCAATATGTTCAATGTGCAGTTACATTTCACTGGATGAGGTAAATTAACAATTTATATGGATTTTTCTAGACCTTGTATCGTATTCATACTTAGTACTTTATTGCTATCCATTTCATTTATTTTCTTCTTCTTCTTCTTCTTCTTCTTCCCCCTCAAGAATTAGACCGGTTGGTCCGTTGCGCCTCCTTGATCTAACCATCTTCTCCTGGGTCTACCAACGCTTCTTCTTCCTTTAGGGATGTACTGAAGCACTTGCTTTGGAATACGGTCGTCTTCCATTCTTTCCGGGTGTTTTTTCCATTGTTCTCTGTATTCCTTAATTTTTTCATTTAAGTTGTTAATTCCTATATTTTCTTTCATTTATTTTCAATTTTATAAACTTTTACCTTCTGTGCATCGCAACGTTTAAATGATTTCTTCATCATCATCATCACCATCAGCTTCATCTTCACCATCTTCAACGTCTTCATTTTCAACGTTTTCATCATCTTCATCGTCTTCATCGTCTTCATCTTCTTCTTCTACTTCTCCTTCATCATTTTTTTCTTCTTCATCATCATCAGCTTCTTCTTCATCATCTTTTTCTTCTTCTTCTTCTTCTTCTTCATCTTTTTCTTCTTCTTCTTCTTCTTCTTCTTTTCATCTTTTTCTTCTTCATCTTTTTCTTATTCTTCTTCTTCTTCATCTTTTTCTTCTTCTTTATCTTCTTCTTCATCTTTTTCTTCTTCTGCTTCGTTAAAATTATCAATATAAATTAGATGTAATTGAAGCAAGAAGGTTAATACATTTTTGGTGTAGTTGTAATTATTTGTTTAAGCGAAAATTTTACTAGTTTTATTTTTATCGTTCGTTCTCAGTAAGTAACATATAGATTAAAAGTACTGTTTTTACATGTATAGCTGTGTTATTGCAAACTTTCAACATTGTGAAAAACATTTAATATCTAAAAAACAATCTATTAGCCTAAATCATGACATACTTGAAAACCATGGTCTACAATGATTTTGCTACTCGAGAAAATAAAGTATATGAACCCAATTCGGATGTGTTGTTTCCACATCTGATATTCGATTTCTTCTATCACGTAGCAATTTTAAGATAATAACATTTTTATCCGTCTATTCGCATCGTCGAATGATAATGGAATCATATATTAAAGTAATTGTATTTTTGATGATTTTTAATCAGTTGTTTTATTAGTTACTCGGTGAGGATTCTTTCTTCCCTCTCTCGATTTTTCACGGTTGCGCGTACTTTTGCATGATTTCAAGAAATAAAAGGGACATTGTGTATGCTCTTCTATGTCCCTTGCAAAACTGAATTGTTTATAAATAGTAAATTAACTAACTTACGTCTTATGCTAACTTCCTCACTTATATGGCAAGATACAATTAATTCCACATGAAATTTGAAGCTTATTGCTCTCATTAATTCTTTGCCAATTTAATTACAGAATTTAATTGAAATCATTGTCAAAGAAATTATTCCGTTATTAGGCAAACAATGTGAAGTATAAGACCCTACTTGACAAGCAGAAGATTTTTCTTTCATCCCTGCATATTAAACGTGAACTCCTGGAAACCCTTGTAAAGGCAATGAATCGTGATAGAAAAGTTTTTATATTTCTAAAAGTGAAGATTGGGAGAATGGAAACTGTCTCAAAATTAAAGGCGTTTTTTTGGGGTCAGAAATATGACAGTTGATGTGTCACGACATACAGAAAAAATAATAATCGTTTAGAACTTAGAAGCTTGGACACATATGTACTTGTGACAACCAAGTTTTTGGGAAATTAGCGCACAAATAATTATGCAGAACTAGTACATAACATTATTTGAGCATATCAGAGTCTAGGTTGTCACAAGTCTTCAAAAACACGTTTTCTGCATTGCCATCTTCATTTTTTCCGCCAAATCTCCGCGCTGTCAGTGTCGAGCGTAGTGAAAGGTTCCACCAGCATATATCAACAATGGAATCCAGATACCAAGGACAATTAAGATGCTAGCGAGATAGGGGCTTTCTGCTGGTTTCTTTAAAGATCAACCGCAAGGCAAGATAAACCAAAAAGCAAATGACTCCAGCACTTTTAAAAACGTTTGAAGTGCTTATTGCATATTGTACACAAATGTATATCATTTTAAAAGTTTAAAAACTATAAATTAACATAAAAATTAGCACACAAAAAATCAACCAAGTTTAGTTTATTTTGGCTTTACTCTACCAGCATATTATTCTGAATAGGAATTAGAAATCATTTCACAATGCTATAATTTAAAAAATGTGGCGTGATAGAATAAATCTGACTTCAAATATAGAATCAGACCATCAATCAGAACGATATCAGTGAATTTTTCTCAGTAGCAAACAATAAGTTGTTTCTTGTAGACCAGTGTAATACATGAAAATAAATTGCTTTACATACTATATGATTTTATTACTTTTTATCTGCCTGAGATATTCTAGCCGTAGCTACTGAAGAGTTAGCAAGGTAAACAAAATGAAATGTTAAAATGTTAGTGATATAATATCTCATAAAAATAATATATTCATAAATATAATTATTTATATTTCAGTAACAGTGACATCTCCACTAACAACAGAATCTGCTATTTCCATGCCAAAGACTATGAGGCCATATCCTACTTTCCTGCCACCTCCACCCCTTCCAACACTGCCCCCTTTGCCGACATTTCCTCCGCTGACAACGCGACCTTTAATAACGACATTACGAACATCTGTGCCTTCCTTAAGTTCTGTTCAACCTTCTCCTTCCCTACCTTCATTGGTTCCTTTAACGTCCCTGTTGCCATTTGTTTCAATACTTTCTACAACTATATCTCAAAATATTTCTCAAGTGAACCTGAACTTTAGTACAGCATTTCAGCATATAACCACACGTCAAGGAACTTCCATGAGCTCAACTGAAAGAACACTTTTTCCCACGAAAAGAATTTATTCCACATTTTCTACTCCATCTTTTAACTTATCTGACAAAAACAACAGGACTGAATTTTTTAAACCTACACCATTATTTCCAAGTTATTTGACCACAAAAGAAGAACCAATGACTACACTACCTACAAATGAATCACTGTTACCGAGTCCAAACACTGGAAATACTTTCAGATTATTTTTAACCACTCGCGTGTTTAGTAGTACAAAGTACGACAAAACAAGTACTGTGCCAAGAACAACTCCAGTTATTAGGAACACTATCACGAAAGCCACCTCTAGAACTCAAATGTATTTCGGCGTTTCAACTTTAAAACCTTTCAAACACACTTCCAAAAGCTACAATCAGCTACCAACCCTCTCATTCCTGACTACCACTTCATCTCCAAAATATGACTTAAGACGAAAAACGGCTGTTCAAACATATCTACCTATCCAAAGAACAACTCTGAAAATTGACATCAAGCCACCTATTAGAAAAGGATATGGGACAACATTAGAACCTTCAACAAAAATAAAAGGTAATTAATGTTTCAAACTCTGTAATGTTTCATTTGTACCTGTCTAATCATTTTAAATAACAAAATTGGAAATGAAATACATCAGATCCCAACCAAAATATTCAGTATAATAGTTTAAAATTGAACTTGTTAAGGCAATTTCTCATACAGTCGTAGCTCAAGTGCAATTACTCAATTTGGTAAAGAAGAAAAATGTTTTGAAAACGAATCGTACAATCAATGAATATATTACGACTTAAAAGTTCGAATCCGGCTAATTCGGGAATTAGCGACGTCCATTACCTAAAATACACGGATAATCTCCTTAGTAGGAACAACTTCGAATACTACTGCGGGTATACGCCAGATAATGTTGACATTATCCAACAGATGTAGCGGGGATGGGTGAAGAACGTCACGGTGACGTGTAGCAGGTTTTTTTTCAGGATCTTTTTCCAGCTTCAGGGGGAGGCGAATATTTCGACTATTCGTGCCGGGTACCTACTATGTCCCTCATGGCGACACATATTAACCGTTACAACAGACACATACTTGCGGGCTCCTCAGTTCGTTGTCAGCAGACTCATAAGGCCTTCCGCGACAACCCACATACATGAAAGACAAGGGACAAACAACCATGTCGAACCTGCGACCCTTCCGACCGAGGCTGTGACGAGGAAATGCAGATGATATGTGAAAAATTGGAATCAGACTGCTACGGGGAGTTTCTCAGGCTAGTAGAGAGAAGTGACGTTGTTTCGAGTTCCACTGTGCCAGTTGTAAATTTCTTTTCACACGATACCTCTAACTTTCCTACATCTCAGTCGACGCTTCGCTGCGCATTTGCGAGTTGGCGACGAGACTTCTTTACACTTATATTACTTACGCCGACCGACGTCCCATACAGTACGGAGTAGGTAAAGCTGAAAATTTATTCTTTTTAAGAACGCAAGACGGTTTCTCTGCGGAGTTTGTCTATTAATGAAAATCAGCCTTCATATTTTGATAACACAATTATATTATTTACTGTTACTATTTCATGTATAATTTACAACACTTTTCTTCATCAGTTATTTGGAATGCCATCAAATTTTAATTTTTACTATTCTGAAAGGCCTTTACTTTAATGAAAAAGATCGTCTAATAAATTCTTTCCAAAGAGTCTTTTTTTTTATTGTATTGTAAGATGTTTTTTCGTGCCGCTTGTGGTTTACGAAGTTGAAGTCCTACTCGTAGCCCGCGTTGTCGAAGTCAAGAATCTTCCGCGAAGATTCCCGTCTACCACCAGTAATATTGATGTTGAAGTTCCGTCCAAGCTAGTGTCTTAAATCTGATATTTAATAATTTATACTGAAAACAAAATATTATTCGCATATTCCTCAGATGGACTCAAGGCTGCTTTCGTTCTCAAATAAAAGTTCTATCTGACGACTATTAAAATGACTAGCTAGACTTCAATGTGCTCACGATAGTGATGTTCAATCTTATGATGAGCTCGCAACGGCGATTCTTCTCCTAAAATTATGATTCAGATGCAACATGTCACTTTCGCTTTCGTTTGTTTTCCAATTTTTTGTTACAAATTTTCTTATTCGCTAACTCATTTCCCGATGGTCAATTATCTTGACTCGATGTTAATGATTTTACTAATATCTGTCACCTTGGCTGTCTATATTACTTGTATTTCGTTAGATGACGCTTTAAAATAAAAATTAATATCTACAAATGTCCATTTCACAAAGCACAACTATTAATATATTATTCTAGGAATCTCCGATGTCACGTATTCATTGTTTATTTTGTATCGCGAACATTTCTACGTTCTATTTACATCACAGTATTTGCATCTAATACGTCCATGTCCAATATGGCTACCCAATGTCCTCTTTATAAATGTTACCTATTTTAATTTCGCTCCTGGGTACCTGTACTTTGAAATGAGTCAATATTTCGTATTATTATCTTTAATAATTTCCTTGAGATATATGAGTATGTAATCAATAATATCTTTATTTAAAATTTAAAAAAAGTGGACAGAACCAATTTGTGTGATTATGTATTTTAATAATATTAATTTGTTTTTAGCAATTTATCTCAAATTTCATTAGGACTTCATTAAGATAAAAAATGTTTATGTACAGGGTAACCGACCATTTTTTACATACTAATACCTCAAAGGTGGCAACGCCTAAATACCTATGAATTCATTTTTGTTTCACAATATTTATCAATTTCAAAAGATATGAAGAGGTCAATTTCCGAAAATGATTTTTTGTTGCTTCTCCCTACCGTTTGAAGAGAGACTTAAGAACTATAGTGACTGTAGAGGAAATTTCCTTACAACTCATCTGCATTTCAATCGTTTGCAAGGTTTTATTTGGAAACAGACAACACGCTGGTGATGTTTTTCCTCGTTTCATGCGATTAAATCCACGTTTCTTGTCCTTGGAGCAGAAAAATGACTTATAGTCAGTATTTCAAAAATAACAGTTTGTACGCATACTATTTCGAACAATTTGGACCAACTTGCTTGACTTAGTGGCTAACATTTTCATGCGTTTTATCATGAAATCCGTCAATTCCGCATTTAATGAAACATCGAGTTATTGAAGATGAAATATATTTTTACAGATACCCTCAAATTATTCAATTTTTTTTAATGAATAGAAAGAGAGACATGTTCAGCTTATTATTCGTAGATAGTAGCACAACAACTTTTTTGAGTATACCTAATTGCTGTTTTGCTAATGATTTTTAAATTTTACTTTTAGAAATGTGATGTCGGGAGACTAGCAATATGTTGAGAGTAAAGAATCTATAATGATCGCGAAGATATTAAATGTGTTTCAGCTGGACAAGCAATGCCTTTACAATTCCCCACGTCCATTTACAGAGATGTACGTTTATTGACTCGTATAATCTTCCCTGAATGGTGAGATCCGGCACTGACCTACACGTCGGCTTTCTGTTGCCGCGACCTGGAGTCTCCCACCAATAGGGCACAGCCAGGACAAACTCGAAGCTCCCGTCGGGTCTTCCGACATTTGTGGTAGTGTAGTGCGTGTAAATAAGGAAGTAAGAATAGGACAATGAAGAGGAAGAAAAGATCACGCCCGTTCCGTATGTTTCCAATCCTAGAACCTCCCGGTCAGAGGCACTGAAACGACATAAGTTGATACCCTTCGCAACCTAAGCTCGTTTTTGTGTGTGCATACGCCGGAGCAATGCGCTATCTTTCCGATCGCATGTCGATAATCATTGAATCTATTGGTTGATACTGCGTCACTACTGCATTATCAGAAGCCATAAGCGAAACAATAAGCACAATAGAGAAACCACCATCATATAAGAAGTATTAAACAGATGTTTTGAAATTCTGAAGAGCCCCGCCAATAATTTGCTTGCGACATTAGGTTGAGGTCAGTAAAATAAGAATATTGCATTGATTGATAAAATTCGAGTTTGCCAAAATATTTCCTTGGAACAGTTACAGCAACTTAAAACACAATCCCTGCAAAACGGCGGAAAATAAATGAAGCTACTATCAAAAAGCCTTGAAATAATTTACGACGAGTAGTACAAATACATAAATAAATACATATTGTTACTAAGATTCACGCAGAAGAACATGCACATAAACGGTAATTTTACATAAGTTTTACTTTAACACTGGCTAGCGTGAGATAATACGCAATTTTATAAATATTTATCTCCGAATGTTGTAGGGACACTCAACAAGAAAAAAGAAGATACATTGTAAACGGGTAATACATTGTAAATAGAAAAAAATTAAGAAAGATTGTACAGGAATCGTTCCCATAATCTACATTAATTTGATAATAAACTAATAACTAATAATATACTTTGTACAAAGTCTACAAATGCAACGTAACATTCACATGTTTTATAACTTTTGAAATAACACGTGTTACATTTTCATTCGATGCATATCTGACTAATAAAATGTTTATAGCATACATTTTTTCTTGCACGTGTCACAAGATTGCGTTTTTGAAATTTTTCCTCTTTCTTGGATCATATCATTCTAGTCGGAATTCCAGAAGAACACTGATTTTGATTTAAGGAGTGCGTATATATTGCCATTACAAAATGGTGCTGTATACCATGTTTAGACAATTTTTCATGCAACAAGATATTTTATCAAAACAAAGTTTCTTCTAGTTTTTACATATTTCTCTTTCCGGTCAGGGTCTAGTGTAATATAAATGATAATCTTATATCTATCATGTCTACGCCGCCTTTAGAGCCATTGTAGAATAAGGTAATCTCAGGCTTTTTAGATTATATTGTGCAATATTGCTATTTGATGCATTCTCGAAAGAAAGATCAAACATTTCTTTGTGGGAGATGTAGTTTAACACTGAAGCCAAACAATTTCTTTTATCTTGTCTTGTTTGGCAAAAACACTTTGGGTATCAAATCTTTGATTTCTGTAACAGTTTCCGCCGAAGTAAGACCATTTTTCATTAAAGATTTTCTATATAAACACGTATCACACAATTTGGCGATAAATGAGTATAAATACGCGACCTTGACAAAGATTCCTAAACACGAAATATTTCGCTATGATGCGGTATTCTGGTACAAGAATGCGATGTTAAGTTTTAGTACTGAAATAAATTAAAGAATTTGAAAAGCTACACGGAGACAAAATTAATTCTGATTTGCTTCATGAGAAACAGATACAAACATTGCCATTGCACGTGTTTATTTGCTAAAGAAAAGTGCACGAGACTCTCGGATTCGCCTCGCTTTAATGTCACTTATCCAAACATCCACTCATAAAAACATGACAAATAGTGAAATTTGAATTTCAAAATAAAATATCCAATCCCTTATTATTTTTTTTATAAATACTAAATTCACAACGCCGAAGGTAAAACTTAAGTTGAAATGTACGGTGTTAAAGGTTGCTATAAATCCATGCACACAAACAACGCTTATACAAGAAAATTGACAACCACTGCATTGTAGTAAAAACCTACATGTTAAAGTTTTGATGTGCATTTGCCAGTTGTATCGGTTATAAGAATCGCAAAACGATTCGTAAATGACATTATAGCATCTTTTAGATGGTCGAAACGGATATAGAAAACTTCCAACGAAGTGAAAACTTACTTGTGTTGTCATTAACCATCTGTGAAGGCGACCGCAAGCCAACCTCTTGTTTTTCCTTCTTTCTTGCCCTTCATTTGTCACTGATTAGAGCTAGTGAAGTTGAGATTAAGCGACTGATTAGAAAGTTAGTGAAGTTGCAGTGCTTCGGTCTAAAGGATTACTGAAGCAGTTATTTTACCGTATCTTGATAAATAGCAGACTCTAGTGTTCAAAAGGAGAACTGCTAGGGAAATTGTTAAAGAATATAGAATGAAATATAAATCTGCAATATCTCTCGACAGATTTGAATCAGAAATGTATTATAATGTACGTACGTATTATACGTACCTATTGGCTTATCAAAGTACAATCAAACCCCTGTTCCGACCACACCTAACCTCTTACAATGGCCATCAGTATTCATTTCAAAATATCTCTTCCTCTTTAACTCGATCACTTCTGGTCTTCCCAAACTTAGAAATATCTAATGTTCAAAAACATATATTCTTTGGCATCTGTTGATTACTCTTCGAACAGTGCGGACAAGTTGCATGGGTTAGGCGCGGCCGGACAAGAGTCTCAGCCTCGCTTGTCCATTTGGTCCAATCAGTGGTTGCTTCCCTGGAACACATATCATTTTGACATCCGAGATTTTGTGACATGCTCTCAGTAAAACTTGGATGATACGCGCATTTTCTTTCTCGCCTTCTTCGTAAAAAGAGAAATTTGAAATCGTGCGCTCGAAAACAGCTATGTTGCGACAAAAAAAGCTCTTAATGCGGGATCCTGGTAACGAAAAAGTGGATCAATCTTGTTCCAATATGTATTAAATTACTTCCCCTAAAACGTCGTGTAGGCAGAATCTATGTTTTGTACGTTTCTTATAACCGAAAAACCGACTGACAACAAAACGAGTCCATCTGTCGGCCCGTCTTTTTTTTAAAAATATATATTTATTAATAAACGAGTGCATAGTTCAGTATTATATATACGACTTCATATGTATTCTCTGACTTAATATTTAACTTATATATAATTGTATGATTAGATTTAACTACACATGAATAGGAAACTCACAGAACACCTATGGGATTAGTTCATTTCTGAAAATATTTTGAGGAATGAATTTAATGGGTATTTATTTTTTATTCTAGTTGGAAGCTGGTAGGTGGTGACTAAGTCGTAATAGGCTGCTTGGGTTATTGCGTTTATTTTGGAGAAGAAATTTTTAGATAGGAACGCAATAGGGTGAACTATAGGGGGTTAATTCAATTCTTTGTGCAGCTGAATGTTTGAGATGAACCAGGGAGCATGAGTGGCAAGTCTGAGAAAATGATTTTGGATGATATATAATTTATTGATGTTAGTTTTATAGGAGTTGATCCAGATAGGGTATGCATAAAGCAATATGGGTCTAATTATTGATTTATAGATAGTGATGGCATTGTTTAATGAGAGCTTACTATTGCGATTGAAGAGAAGCTTCAATTGAATTAGTTTTATTTTGGCTAGCTGTGCGTTTACTATTATGTGATTTTTCCAATTTAGTCTGGTATCAATATTCAGCCCTAGGTATTTGACAGATTGATTGTGTGTAGTCCATGGAATTGGGTGATTGTTTATTCGGATAGGAGTTGGGATTGAAAATATTCATAATGAGAATATTTTGGCGGTGAATTTTGTTGGATTGAATTTGGTTTTCCACTTAACAGACCATTCATCAATTTTATTTAGATGTGTTTGAATTTGTTTACTGATTAAATAACTTGAGTGATTGGACAATAAAATGGCGGTGTCATCGACGAATTGGGCAATGTGCGAATGTGATATTATGGGTATGTCGGCTGTGTATATGTTGAAAAGCGTGGGGGACAGTGGTGAGCCTCGAGGTAATCCAGCTGTAATTCTGCGGGGATGTTTATTAACTGTGACTAAAAAGTTTTATCTTGGAGGATCCGCACGTCTGTCTGCTGTCAACGATAGCGCATAAACCGTTCACACGATTTTCTCCAAAATGAATACTCCCCGATCGATCTGAAAGAACTCGAAACACTGTGAGTTTGAAACGGAGCCTTAACAATATTTTCAATTTTTCCCCCTAAATAGCTCCATCTTTTTAAAAATTTTTCCTCTTACAAATTCTTCGTAAGAAGAGATGGTTATGTAATAGTGCCTGAGAAAAGCCGCAATTTCGCCAGAGAAAGCTTATTGCGTAGAGTTGGATGTAAAATTGCTTTTCGCTTGACTTTCCAGATAATTCAAACTTATTTCAAGATTTTTATTTTTGAACAATTTCCAATCCAACAAAAATTTGGTCTTCAGTGCGGAAATATCGATATTTAATACGTTCTTGTAATTGGATATGAATTTATCCGCTTCATTTACATTTATCATTTAGAATGAATCAACCGACTATGCAAAAGAAAGCTTTTCGAATGTAATTTCAAGTTCCTAATAATGTTGTTCATTACTTGGTAGTCAATGTTTCATTTCTAATATTCGTCTGCATATGTTCCTTGCAGCATATCAATGTGAGTTGATTCAGTTGGGTAATTATTATTCATTTGTGTTTGTTTTCTCTTCTTTGAAATTCTGACTGCTTCAAAGGAATTTCTTGCATTTTTGTGAAATTATTGACATTTTCAAGGTCTTTTAATCTGTTCGTCTTATCTCCTAAATGAGTACTTGTTCTGTTTGTTATGTAACTGGCCCAACCAAGTATTGCATCTTTACTCTGGACATATTTAGTCAATACGTTCGTTATCACTAACATGGAATGAAAAGCAAACAAACTATAAATTGTGGCTTTTTTATTAAAGCCAATTTTCCGGTGCTTCTGGCAAATTCTTCTTCCTCGAAATCAGTGATTTTCATGGGATTAGCACCACATTTTTTGCCATCAATTGTTATATACGAAGAGAAAATTTAAAGTAAAAATTTGGAGCTGTTTTTGAGATTTTGTTTAGAAATTGCATATATTTCAAAAACGAATTACTCGAAAATCTACTCTTTTTTTTCGTTTCAAAAATAGGTATAATTTTCTAAATCTGTAAAATGAATTAAGATGTTAGTTACTAAATAAATTTAACAGAAACATACAAGTGTGGAATACTAACCTTGGTATGTCAACATTTTCGTTGACTAGTAAATTATTTCAACATTGAGAATTTTGTCCACAACGATGTGGGAGAGTTGCTGATGTGAGAAACTTGCATCACTTGCAATTTCCAAACAATCGTCGGGAATACCCTCCATCCTAAAATGTGGAACGTACTCGTACATCCGGTACCGTGTGTGTAGAAACAAAACTGCCGCGTCTCAAGCGCGAAAACCGAATCGAAATTCTGAAATGAATTGAATTCTCAATTCGCTTGAATTCTCAAGCGAAAACCGAATCGAAACTCTCGCGTCTGAAGCAACAATCGAATCGTATTTAAATGGAGGATGGATTTCCACACCTACTTGTTAAAAGCAAAGGCATTTCTTATTTATTTTATTTTTCTAATAAGGAGATGGTCTTACAAAAAGTATTGAACGACACACGACCAATAACACAAATAACAGACTGGGTTGGTTGCAAACCTCAACCGCGTTAGTTATTTGGTGTTTATTGTCCTTATGACGTTAATAACTATAAAACTCACGAGTATTTTGACAGCTGTTGCTATGGACGCGCTCTTAAAGCGTTGTTAAGATTGTTGGTTGCTAAGAAGTTAAGCGCGTATTTGCCGACATAAATAATAAAACAATATTTTTTAACAGGCCGTGCGCGGTTTCTCGTGTTTGTTTTCCGTGTGCAAAAGAGCTATTTTTTGATACAGAGCGAAGAGATAACGATTAATCGATTTTGTTCTCTCCTGTAAAATTTGAAATATGTCGCTTAACGTTGTTCCAGCCAATGTTTCCATTAGCACCACAGCCGCCACCACCGACTCTGTAGTTGCCATTTTTTTCTTCTATGCTAATTGTTTTATTATTGAACCCGTCAGAAATAACGGGATGACAATGAATTCTCGCATAGGAAATGAATAAAAAACAATATCTGTATTTCTTAAAACTAAAAACTAATGCGTGTCATTTTTCTTTCATTTTAAGATGTTCTTAATTACATGATTGCTTCACAGAATTGCTCTGCGAATCATTCTCATTGACACTTTTTTTAATTTTGAGAGGCCTAACTGAAGTTGACTGTGACAGGGTAGGACTCTTCTAAAAACACGTCCAAATGTCAAAAGATTGGTCACCGCCACAAGAATCCACCGAATTTAAGTGAGTTGCCAATCGAAATCAATTTAGGGAACCCTACTTGGTGCTGCTGTAGTTTGCAAATTCCCCAAACCCCTAACTCACTTCAATTACCAGTCCCTCAACATCACACGCACTCCAACTGCCGAATTGTGCACCGCGAAAACTACGGGATAGTACCGCGAGATGTCGTTAATAGATATAATATAGCGTCGCGGTCGGTTTTTATGTTTTTATTGCTAATGGGAACGCCTTATCCGAAAAAATCTTTTTTTTCAACATATCCTTAAACTATTAGTAATGAGTGCAAAATACGTTTATCTCCCTTCACGTGCTCAAACTTAGCATTACAATCATAAAGCCGTAAAAAATTATGTTATAGATTAATGAATGACCGCGATACAATTTTTTAATCTACAACTGTACTTTAATCTTTAACTTTACTACTACTACTACTTTAATCTGAGAGTCAACATTTTAAATAATGTCTGGAAATATGTATATTTTTGCTAACTTAATAGCTAGTATGTACTGTTTTACTTTCCCTAATTGACATTCATTCTGTTTTTACTCTGAATTTTAGAATTAATTTATAAATTTTTCTTACATGTATTATGTTCATCTGTCAACAGAGTCTAAAGCAGAACCCAAGGTGTCACATGTATCAAGCATTGCTGGGGCAGTTGGAGGAGTAATAGCTGTGGCAATAATTGCAGCTTTGTTAGTTTTCGTACTATCAAGACGGATAACAAGATTCAAGAAACACAGAGACATGTCTGAAGATTCTGATGTCCGTTTTCTCACATCCGACGAAGTATTAGATTTTAGTTTGGCAAGACCTAATGATGATGATGATTTATGACTATCTCAATTGACCCTTGTCAATTTTCCTGACACAGAAATAGACTGAAACAAAGTTACTTGTAAATTTTGTGTAAAAATAGTATTGGATGCTGTTTTGAGAACTCACAGTGTGTATGTTCAGTATTTTTAGTGATTAGAAAACCATAAATGAAAAAATTTAAAATAAATAATTTTATTTCATATTTATTTTGATAATTTTGTGTTGAAATAACCTGCTTTTATGGTCACATATTAACTACACTTACAGTATAATGCACATTTCACGACATACAAACCATATATTTAAATTATAAACATTACTTACAATATATTTAACGACTACCGTTATTCATGTCAATATTGTGAGAACAGTATTTGGCTCAATTCTGGAAAGTAGGCGTGGTACAACTGATAAATCGCCAAAATTCATGAAATGTTATTCAAAAGCTTACAACAAATTTATATAGAAATTACGAGTACTTCTATTTACGAGCATTATGGCTTCCTTATATCCAGAATGACGCCATATTTGATGAAGCAATTGCAGATATTCACGTAAACTTCTTCCAATAGCAACTCTTGCAGAACACTGTTCCACACCATTGTTCCACATACCTCTGTTTCGTACAGTAGCGACAGAGTGTACGCTAAATTCCCATGATGACACGATTTTTTGTGCCTCACATTTCATGATAACATAATGCCTGTGTTATTTCGAATAACATTCGAATAACATTTCGAATAACACAGAGCCTGTGTTATTCTGCGTGTCTTGCATAGTCTTCTTCTCAATGCTTCTTACTAAACTTACAATGCGTCTGTTTCCCATACTTCGGTCAGATTTAATGATCTGCCATTAGTGGGTCATCTTGATGACTGACTACATGCTTTCCCACCCTGACTATTCCATGGTGCCAAGAGACTTAAATTTGTCAGAGGCCTCTTCCTCATTCCCTATGGGTCGTCCACAAATTACGTAAAGCTAAAGACGGGGAAGGGGTTTGAAGTAGTGTTACGTTGGGGGTCCGCCGTGTTAGTTTAATGTCACGTAAAAGATTTACTTTTAATTTTTCGACATTTGGTGAAAAAATTACTTTTTTCTTAATGTATTTACAATACATTAAAATATTAATTACTTTTAAAAACATAAATAATTTAAAGTTATTGTGTAATTTGTTACAATAAAAGGAATTTTCTTTTTAATTTTTTTTATAGAATTTGTAAAATTACGAAGAAAATATTCAAAACTGATCTATTGTATATTCTAGAAATAAAGTAAATTAGTGCAGTAGATTGTCGCTCATGTGTCGTCCACGACAAGTGTACGGCTTGTAAGGAATGTTCACGTCTGAGCGTCCCTCCTTCACATAGCACTTGTTCCCAATGATATTGTTACACACAGTCATCATCGCCAATTAATTCTCCAAAAATTTAATTATCATACATTTTAAAAACAAGATTTTACATTTTACATTTTAGAACACAACTAAAATTAATACAAATTGTTTTTTCGGTAATATAATTTATTTTTATTTCTTGTAAATGGGGCGGGGAGTTCTCAAACGTTACGTAATTATTTTGGGGGAGTTCAAGCACGCGTTACGGTTGCGATACTATAGGGGAGGAGGTTTTCAAAATACTCCAAATTTGTGTTACGTAATTTATGGACGGCCCCCTTACGTGACACATGACAAAGTCTGTATGGTTATTATTATTATTATTATTATTATTATTATTATTATTATTATTATTATTATTATTAAGGAGAGGGAAGAGCTATTGGATTACTCAAGACCTGGAGCGGGAAATAGAGGAGAAGAAGATACTGTAATAATGGTTGAGTACCAAGAAAGAAGAAAATACAGAGGAATATAAAATCCAACGAAATAGAGTTAGAAACATCATAAGAAAAGAAAAACAACAATCATGGGAGCGTAAATGTCAAGAAGTAGACATGTACATATGTGGAACAAAAACAAATGAGATTTAGAAGTTTATAAAAGAGGTAAAATCTCCCCAAATGGAAAAAATCCGCATACAAAGTATATCTTTAAGCAAATGGGAAGAATACTTTAGAAAATTATTATATGAAGGAAGATCAGATTTTCTCGAAACTGCAGAAAGGGAAAAGATATCTCCGGCAAGGGAAATTACTGTAACCGAAAAGAGAGTTAAGAGATGTATCAAAGAAATGAAAGTCGGTAAAGCTCGGGGTCCAGGAGAAATCCCAAGCGAACTGATAAAGAATGGAACACCAAAGCTAGTGCAAATGATGACAAAGCTAATGAATATGTGTATAAGTAAAGGCGACATACCAGGAGACTGGAAAATGGCTTATATAACACCAATATATAAGAAAGGAAGAAAACACATATGTGAAAATTATAGAGGGATAGCAGTGACAAACACGTTCAGTAAGGTATATGGAAGAATATTAAGGGAATTAATAGAAGATGGATACAAGGAGTACGAAGAAGAACTATGTGGTTTTAGGGCAGGTCGATCTTTCTTAGTTAACCTGATGCACAAGAAATGGCAAACAGGGAGAGAACTTTACATGGTCTTCCTTGATACAGCAAAGGCGAATGATAGTGTGCCAGTAATAAAGTTATGGGAAGTTATTAATAAAAGTAATGTAAATAAAATCTTAATAAATGCAGTGAAGAAATCGTATATAGATCAAAAGGGAAAAGTGAAAGTTGGAAATCAGGTGACTCAAACATTTCCTATATCAAAAGGACTACGGCAAGGATGCTGTTTGTCACCTACCCTCTTTAAAATGTATGTTAATGCGGTGTTACAGGTATGGAAAAGAAAATGTGCTGCGATGGGAATACCACTTGATGATAATACAACACTTTATACCGTACAGTTCGCTAATGATCAGGTGCTGATGGCGCAAGAACAAGAAGATATTGAATATATGACTAGGAAGCTAAAATAAGATTGTGAGAAATGGGGACTAAGCCTCAATCTAGAAAAAAGAGTATACTGGACTCTAGGCAGTACGCATGACGTATTGACTATGGAAACTTGAGAAATAAGTTCTTGGGAACAACAATAGGAAAACAGGATTTTTATGGAAAGGAATGTGAAACCCGACTCATTAAAGGAAGACAGATTTTAGGAGCCCTGAAAGCAGTTATCTGGGATCCAAATATAAGCAAAAAAACGAAAATTATAATATGTAAATGTATGATTGAAAGTGTTACATTGTATGAAGCAGAAATATGGCAGCTCTAAGAACAACAGAAAAGAAAATTGAGGGCTTTGGAAAATTTTCTTAAAAGAGCTGCATCAATATCTAGAAGGGAAAGAATTAAGAATGAACAGGTTAAGGAAATAATGAATCTGCAGCATGATATTATAGAGGAAATTGAAAAGAAACAACCCACTTGGTTTGGACATATACAGCGAATGGCCGAGAGAAGATCCCTAGAATGGCAACCAAGTGAAAGGAGAAAACGAGGCAGACCAAGGCCAGGATGGAACGATCAGATCAGAAAGATAATCAGAATCAAGAATTAGAAAGAGAAGTGAAAATTACCTCCTGATTCTTGGAAGAACAGGGAAGACTGGAGAAGAAGATTTAGGCGCCGGAAGACCGAAGTAGCGGTTAAGAAACCGGAAAGATTATTATTATTATTATTATTATTATTATTATTATTATTATTATTATTATTATTATTATTATTTTATGGTATAATATACTGCCCTATACGAGAATACGGCATAGGGATGTCCATGTGTTAACCACACGTGTCCTGCAACCCATGGCCGCAAGGCCGGGACGCCGCTGGTAGGCTAGTCAGAGGCTATTGCGCCAAAGTACATACATACGTAAGATAGTTGAGGGCGGATTTACGCATTGGCACCGGAGGCACGTGCCTTCGCCCGCAACATTTTAGGGGGGAGGAGGTCAACAATTGTGGACGAAAATTGTGTGTAAGACCCTCTTCTTCGTCGCATGCGATTTTTCTTCTTTTTACTTTTCCGTATATGGCGATGTTTTTTGTTTTTTCCAAAAATGACGGAGTAATATACGTAGTATAGAGAAAGTTATGTAGTGCTGCGGAAAATCGATTTCGAGATTTCAACGGAAATACACGTTATGGGGGCTCCTGATACGAAAAAGTATTTTTTTAAACGTCTGTCGTCTTCCTCAGAGAACAGAACCATGAGAAATTGGTCATAACAAGCTGGTTTCATAGGAATGTTTGCGGCTACAATTCATTCAACAACATCGAATGTAATACCAAAAGAAAATAAACAAGAAAACACAGAAGAAAACGTGAGAACCTTTGTCCTTTATTTCTTACTCTCAGTTTCATATCTCCTTGCAGCCCTGTCTAAATACCAGCTCATATCACAACTTGTCACTGCTGACACGACCTAACGGAAATGTTTATCGCCAGGAGACCTCATTTGAGACGGTGAAAATGTGAGGATCGTTAAGAATGTTTGTCACTTCTTCGTGAATGTCATTTTATTCTATAAGATAAAGCTTTGGGTCGTTCAATTCGTGTCAATACCAGTTTCGCTTTGAACGTCGTCTGCAACGGTATTGTCCCTTGTCTTCATGTGGTTTTGGGGAATTGTCATTTGTGCAATTCTGAGGCAAATTAGGTAAGTACTTTTTTTAAATTTATATATAGGGAATGAAAACGAATGTTTCAAAACATTCATGAAGTTCGATTGCTTTCTTTTCTTTTTAGAAAATACAAATCGATTTCATTTTATTCATCAACAGAACTGTTTGAAATGTTTTTGAAAAAAACCGCCGTTGACTCCTTTCGATGTTTTGATTGAAATACCACACTCTTCTTGGTGATGAGGATTCCATACTATTACATTCTAAGATACAGTGCAATTGCATCTAAACAAACGAAAACAAATTTATTAATATTTAACTTATAAGGAGACGCCATTTCATTGTTTACATTGTAATTAGAAATTTCGTAAACAGCCAAAATGTAGAAACCAGTGATAAGCTGTACTTATAAATGTAAAAATAAAATGCAATACCTGTTTTCTCATCTGATTGCTGAGTGGAAATAAAAATACGGCAAACATTGGTGACGCAGATGTGATGAAGTGCAGCTGCAAAGGAAGAATAAAATATTGTTTGGAAAATGTTTTACTTGATCGATAGGTAGAAATAAAAATATGCCACTCATTCGTGATAAAAG